ATGTAGACAATTGCAATATATGCAGATGTGTGTGATTTTTCTACGACGTCACATTGTTGAAAATATACTAGGAGCAATTTTTTTTTATTTGTAAAAGGTCTGACAAGATATACATTTTAAAAAATGAATATATTACTCATGACATTTTGTAAATCTTGCTTTACCCCTAATCACATGCGCCAAAAAAGAGCACGCTTCAAAATGTGACTATATCTGTAAAGTTTGCATACCGTATATAAATGGACTCATGTAAAAGGGTCTAATGAGAGTTTAATAATTTCTACTTTTTTTTTCGAGCTGTAAATTGCATCAGTGTCCCATATTAATTTTTGAGAAGAAGGGTTGCATTATTCGATATCCATTAAATAATAAGCAACCTAGTTTTTACCAGATTATACGATAACAACTTGTATTCATCGGGAAAAAAATACTGATTTTTTTTTCTTCATATTACTGGTAAAAGAATTTTTTTATGAGCATTCTTAAAATAACACACACAAAAGATATCTGAATAAATATTTTTATAAAATTTTCACAAAACCATAAATGAACCGAAGGATTTCTAACTCAAAAATTTAGTAAATCACTATAGGTTCTCATTTAATCTACGCATAATAGGTTTTTGTTCGATTTTTAACAGGTTAAAATATATCTTTCATAATCAAAATTCTTCCTTAGTATATATTTTTAACCATGAAAAATTCATCTCGTGATAGCCAGGTTTAATGAAGAAGAGAAAAGGGAAAAAGTTTAATGTGAGTGAAATTACAGGCATTTATCTGAAAGCGGGTGATTTTTGTACGTTAACTCTGTTTAGCTGTTATATGTACTGTTAGCATTTATCCAGCACTATACTGCCCAGCAAAGATGCGGAAGTTTTGTAAAAATAATGTTTTGCGAATCAAACATAACTTTGCCTCAAATACATTCTTGCAGATCTAGAGTAACAAATCCTGGATAAAATAGCCACAGCAATTATTAGGGTCTTTCTTTTCCAACGACTTCCTGCTTTTATTTTCTGACAACCAATTTTGTTCTCCCGGATTCTCAGAAAAATATAGACTCACAAATATCTCGCAAAGTTTGACAAATTTGCTATCATATCTCCGTACCTGTAAACATTTTGTTTAAACATAAAGAAGAAAATGTGTTAAGAAATACAAGATCTTTTTATAGATATGAGGAAAAAGGGACTGATCCCTCAAATTAAGGGATCAGAAGGGCTAAAAGACTTTTTTCGATAAATCTTTAACGATCAATATTTTGTTAAACAATACTGAAGCAGAAATGTTCATCTTAATAATCTCCAACAATATATTATAAAGTTCTGATCATATATTTTGAAATGAGGGGCCATAAGGGACCCGAATGCCAAATCTCTGAACTTTATATCTCAGCAAAGAAATAATATATAAATAAGCGATTGCGAATGAAATAGGGTGAATTCACCAAGCATCGGACACCCTCGCACTTCAACAAGTTCTAGCGATATCGCTACCGACCGAATGTTATCAAAATGGAACTTAACGTGTAGTATGTGGTTAAAGTATAAATTTTTGACACAATCGTGCCCTATTTATCGAGAAAATACCATTAAAAACCGATTTTTTCGAAATAAGTCAGAATTCACCATGGATCGGACAATATTCACCATGCATCGGACATACGATATTAAAACCAGAAAAATAGCATACCTTGATCTTGGTGCTTTAAAATTAGTGATATCGAAACATTTTTATCTTCTATTTAAAAATTAACCTTCTAATTAAATTTGAATGACTATTTCGATCCACAAATGTGAAGAGATATTTAGTTGCATCACATCGCCTTAGAAAAGATTTACAATGCTAGTAATATGGCAACTCGCGCCTTTGTCGCGTGAATTATCATCATCCAGTTTACATGGTTTAAAGAAATAAGTTAAGTCCACTTCTAGGCGACATATACCGATAATTTCTATTTTCACTGAAAATTTAGAGTTTCTATTTTCTATCTCCGTAAAAAACAGCTGTCACTTGGGTTTTATATGAAAATGGAAGTGATTACCCATGCATCGGAAAGTGTCCGATGCATGGTTAATTAGTGTCCGATGTACGGTGAAATAAACATGCTAGTTAAAAACAACTCTAAAAAATATTATACAAACATTTAAGTAAAATTTGTGAAAAATTTCTGTAAAATTATCAATCATTGATAAATTTTACCTAGGTCTGACCCGTTCCGTTGACGTCTATTTAAAAGATAGACAACTCTAAAAATTGCAAAATCGTAAATGATGATGCAAAATATGACGTAATTTCAAGGCCATTCTTGTGGTATTTTTATCACAATACGAAAATAAAAATCGGCATCATTAAAAAGTTTAAATCTTCACCTTTAGGACAGAAACAAGTAAAAACACGGGGAGACTCGGGTTCAGTGAACGTTTATTGCTTCAAGTTGTCCGAAGCAAGGTATGTGTCCGATGCATGGTTAACTCACCCTATGTTGTGAATTATGGTCTAAAATATATGCGACCTTTAAATTTTTGCAAAACGGCCCCATTAAGGACATGAAGGGCTGGCCCCTAAATATTTCTATTAAACATAGCTCGAAAACGAAAAAGAAATTTCTGAATAGTTGTTCAACAAAAAAATCTTTGAAATCAATAGCCCTATCATTTGAAAAGAAGAAAAGGGGGCTGGCCCCTTTAATTAAGGGCTCAGAAGGGGCAAAAAAGACTTTCATTTATAACTCTTTAAGGATCAATATTTTGTTATAAAGTACTGAAGCAGAAATGTTCACCAGTATATTATAAAATTCTCATGATATATCGTAATAAGGGGCCACAAGGAACCAAAATGCCAAATCTTTGAACTTTGTATCTCCAGAAGAGGAAATATTTTGATATACAATATTGAACAAAATATGTTCAGAATAATGCTTCAAATAAAATACAACTTTTCACCTTCTGAAAAACGGCTGGAACCTTAATACTTATGTTCCACATATTTCGAAAACGAAAAGAAATTTCTGATTAGTTGTTGACCAAAAAAAAAAAAATCTAAACCACAAACCCTTTCATTCGAACAGAAGAAAAAGGGGATGGTCCCTCAAATTAAGGGCTCAGACGGGTCAAAAGACTTCAATCTCTAACTCTTCAACGATAAAAAAAAATGCTGAAAAATTACTGAGCAAAAAATATTCATTTAACCATTTGGATTGATAGAGTGGAAAAAAATATCCTTTATTACGTAATTAGTGGCCGTAAGGTGCATATGCTAAATCTTTGACTCTTTATCGCTCCAAAAGTGGAAATATTTTGATAAGCAATATTGAACAAAAGATGTTCACGATAGTGTAATATACTGTAGATTCCTAAATATACGCGAGGAATTAATTATCGCGTAATTACGCGAGAAGCACCACTCATTATATGTCTCAGTTAATTTGATATGCAAGAGCATGCTCTACGTATGTACAATTTCTAAAACGAGGTAAATTAATGACAAAAAAGTTGATGAAACAAGAATATCAGCAGTCTCGTTTAAAGTCATCATTTCGTAAGTTCTATGGTCGATACAATGACCTTGTCAGGAAGTACAATTTATCATTGAGTCAAATGCTGACTGATGTTTTTCATACTAATTGTTAGGCCATTATTTACACACTGAAATGTCGACGGATTTTTCCGTTATTTCCAGATCATGATAAGGAGCATACGGCGGGTGTGACCGGTCGGCAGGGGATGCTCACTCCTCAATGGCACCTGATCCCACCTCTGATGTTTTGGAGGTCCGTGTTTGCTCTGCTCCTATTTTGTATTGTTTAATGGACTTTTGAGCTTGAATACTGTTCGTTATCTCCATATATTATCATCTTTTCACAATATCTCAGTCAATATGTCATCGAATAATCGGACAAAAGACTTACTCGTTGCTCGCAACGAGATCTCATCTAGTTATTGTTATTCTTTTGTTGAAAGAATGTGCATGCGTTTTACTCACGTAAAGATGTATTTGAAAAATATGTATGTATGAAAGGAAGTTTTTTTTTTTAAATCTTGTGAATTCTCTAGGAAAAAAATAGAGTTGTACTTAGCCTCCAAAATGCATAAAAATCTTAAGCTACCGTTATGATCTGTATGAAATAAAACATTTTCTCAGTTGAGCATTTATTAGAACAAAAACAAACCCTGAATAGGTACAAGCTTTACGTATGTCCAATGTAATTATCTTTTTTATAATATTTTCTTTTTAGCATCCTTTCCATGATTTTTGGATTTGCTTGTGTTTTTATCTTTATGTATTTGGTGGAGGATATAGTACTACACGTAATAAAATACACTCCAAGAAGCCAACCCCTCAACACCCAACCATCTGTGAAAGAAAAAACGGTCAAGCTTAACAATGAAGCAATGAAAAATCTAAATTCATCGGCCACAAGGAAATTAAAAAAGTTTACATATAGAGAGGACTCCTGTGACATTGAATCTAAAAAATACTATCTTATTCACAGAAGGGGAAAAACCAAGATCTTTAACAGTAAGTGCTTGAGTCTTCTAGGTCTTGTAGAGTTTTATAGAAATTTATTTATACACACAACGATACTCATTTATTATTAATGAATAAATATATGGCCTGCTATGGAAGAATTTAAATATTGTTTAGTTTAAGCAAAAAATAAAGAAATAAAAAAAATAAAAATCAATTTAATTGAAAAAAGACTTTAAAAATCACACCTACAAAACCAAAACTATTCAAAGAGGAAGAAATAAATACAGAGGAAAGTACTAACATTAAAAAAAATTCGTGTGTGTCGCAGAAAATTACTTTATTTATTTTCCAGATTTTACACCAATTGGTGGGTCGGACTGGGGATTTCAAAGCACTGTTCATTGCATGGATGTAAATGAAACCACGCTCATTAAGTCGAATGTAGAAGGAGAACAACTTAGTCCTGGATGCTCAAACAAAGACGTTCATCTAGAAACAAAGAATCATTCAAAAACTACTCCTGTCTTTACATTTCCAGATGAATGCCTTAAAAGAGTCATTACGAAATTCTGCACAGACGATCTCCCTGTTCCAAATATTGTTCATTATATATGGATTGGAAAGCAGGAATTTGAGTTCATTTATTTTGTTAGTCTCTATAGCACACACAAAAACCAAAAGCCCTGTCTATTTTTTCTTTATTATGATGTTTTACCTTCTGGAAAATGGTGGGGTATACTTTCAAAAATTGTAAGAAATATTGTATATGTAAAAATAACACCACCCACCGAAATTTCAGGAAAGAAGATCAAATGGGTGCAGCACAAGTCCGATATCTTGAGACTCAGAATATTAAAAGGTACATTGTACCAAGTCCGATTAAATTTTTTTTTCTTATTTTACAGAAAACACTCAAATTTATTAGATTCTTATAGCAAAAAATTCGAAAGATTTTTTTTTTTAATTTTGTATTGAAATTCTTTTTTGTAGAATATGGTGGCATATACTTTGACACGGACCAATATGTTCTTAGATCGCTAAATGAATTCAGAAATAAGGATTGTCCCTTAGGAATGGCGCAAGATGATGCAATGGCAAGTGCGTTGTTAATTGCAGCTAAGAATGCCACATTTATTAATCTATGGATTGATAGTTACAACTCCTACGATCCAAACCACTGGGGCGGAAACTCAGTAGTTATGGCAAGAAAACTCTCCTTAAGATATCCACAATATGTTCGTGTGTTTGAGCATCACTGTCTTTTCTCTATACATGATAAGTTTTTTTATGACCATAACCAGAACTACAAATGGTCCCACAGTTATGGGCTTCATCTTTATGGTAAAAGAGAGCGGTGGAAGGAAGTCCAAAAATGGAATTTATTAACTATAAGAAAATTAAACAATACGATTGGTGCAGTTTTCAGATATATCCTCTTTGGAAATAAAGAATTGTGTAATTAGTCTATCGAAACAAAAATCAGTTTCCGTTTGATTAGCTAACTTCTTATGCTCAAGACATATTATTAAAATATTATATAAAGCACAAATCAGGAGAGTTATCTTATTATTCGAAGTAGAAATAGGTTTATAATAACAACACGACATAAACAATCTTTGAGAGGGACGAACGTTATCAAGTATTCCTTGAAATCTTAAAATCTTTATACCACCTACTACAAGAATATTAAAGATGACAATGGCAAACAATTCTCAACTGTTATATATAATATCTAAATAAAGAACTTTTCCTCAACATTTCAATTTTATTCCTTTCAATTAGCTTCATATGATAATTGTAAATCTTTTTTTTCATTTTTGCGATCACCTTATCTATCACTTTTGACTTTCAGTAAAAGTTATTACAGTGTAGCAATTTCTTATTTTTGTATAAGATTGAATGATTATTTATTACTTACTTCCATTTATCTGACTTTATCATTGCCATACTTTCATTTTAAAATTCTTACGTTATGTAAGAATTATAAACAAAACAAGCATTTTGAATCGATGTTAATGAAATATTTTCCTTACTGCTTGGCATTGCAGCATGTTTTGATCTCGGTTTTACATATCTTCAAAGAAGCGTATTGAATTAAAATGTTATTTTTTTAAATACATGTAAATAATCTTTCAGATGACCAGTGACTGGGTACTGTAAAAGCAGAGATATTCGTTGGGACTAAGTTTCGTTTATTTCGTTGTTAACAATTATCAACGAAATTAAATCCCACACAAATGCTTATATGACTATATATAGAATAGGATTTCTTTCCAAACAATGAAGTTTAATGCCCACGAAACCGTCGTAGATGACAAAACAACGAAACTTTATCACCACGAAAATTTGTGTTTCTACAGCATATAATTTTACGAGTTCCTTTTTTTCAAAAAAATCAGTTGTCTACTTTGTCAAAAGCCTGATCTTTAATCTATCGTTGGAAATGGTCATAAATGGTCATATGAAGTTTTTATGTGTTATTTTGAATTTTTTTTTCCAGTCACCTCTGACCCCTTGAATGATCTGTAATGAAACTCTTTTTTATTTTCAATGCTGGTGTTATTTTTGCCTGACTTCATCAGAACATCAAGCTCAGTCGCAGTGGCCGAGCTATGTCAAGAACACGATGTAGTTACGACATCGACAGATTATTTTTTATAGTTTGCTAAAATATCCCTTCAAATGTGTTTGTACGAATGGAATACCTTCTAGTGTTACGTAAGTTTCTTAATTGTCAATATCCACGACATCGTGTCGATATCGAATCATGATTGTTCAATGGATTTTGATAACCACTCATAACATTGTGTTTTTAACTTGTGAGTAACTTGAATACTATGACTTTTTGAAGTATTCCCTGTGGTTTACTCTACCCTAGCTTAATACTGTCCTTCCTATTGTCTGTATCGAATCATGTTTGTTAAAAAACATACTGTTTTTACTAACTTTCAACCTAACACAAAACCTTACTCTAAACCCTACCCAATACGATAACAAGCTCCTAGCCCATTGTTTGTTATCCTTATTTATTCATATATTCAGGCTAATGATGAATCAATATCGGCATCTCTTGTGGCCATGTATAATTATGTTATACTTAAACTTGAGAATAAATTGTACACATAAGGATGGTTATCGATACGATATCGTCATGGCATTGTCGATATCGACGACATCGACGTAGTACATCAACATAATACTACATCTCATATATGGCATCCAGTATTTCCATTTCATAGTACGAATCAGGGTCGGTATCGATACGATATCGACACAGTAATGTCGATATCAACATTGCATTTGTTCTTGGACATGTATTGCCAGAAGTCAATACTCAGTACTAAGTGTGCAGTATAATAACAAAGGAACATCAATTTCATTTGTTTAAAAAAAAAATTATGAGGTTCATCACTGCTCGTTATCTTCACATTTTTCATTTTCACATTCAAAGATTGGCTAATATAAGAATATCAAATATTTTTGGCACATAAATTTAATTTGAAAAACCATTGATTAAAAAAAAACCTTCCCTTAATTACAATTATGTTGCTTTATTTTTTCATACTGAATGTACTAGTTTGATTACTGCATAATCAAAAACATGCACATGAAACACACTCACAAAAAAAAATGATTTTTTTAATGTTTTTTAATGTTTCAAATCAAAAACATGAAAGACCATTAAAAAATGCTATCTTTTTATCCCTACCTGATTTTTTTAAACCGTTAATTTTTTTAAGGCGTTCCGTCTCAAGCGACAAAAGTCATTGTTTTCGTTGTTTCTGTTCGGTTTTGGTTTCTTTTTCCCTATTATTATAATTCCAACCGATTTCTGTTCGCAATTTCCGAAAAATGACTCAGAAACTCCTCACAAAATTTGACACATTTACTACCATATCTTTATGCCTGTAAATATTTTGTTAAAAAATATATAACAAATGTTGTGCAAAATGATAAGAGCATCAAGAAAAAGAGACTGATCCCTAAAATTAGGGGCTCAAAGGGGGTTTTGATCTGTTACTCTTTAACGATCAATATTTTATTATAAATTACTGAAGCAAAAGCATTTACCTTAAAATTTTGATCATGTTTTACGTAAATAAGGGCCACAAGGAACGAAAATGCTAAATTTTACACGAAAAAAAAAGAAGAAATATTTTTTTTAGCCATATTGAACAAAAGGTGTTTAGAATAATGTTCTTAACAGTATGTAACGCTTTAATTTTTCAAAACTTCAAGACTTGAAGCACTGACTCCTAATTATTTACAAGATAAAAACTTACGACTTTTCAACTTTATGTACAACTATTCCCCACGATAAATTAAAGTCCAGACATTTCTGACATCGTTGACAGCTGCTTTTTCAATAAAAATGGAACTCGTAAATTTACTTACCTTGTCATTGGTCATTTGCAATATTACTTTGTTTAAAAAAAAACAAAAACAATCTGACTGTACACACAAGCACTCTGAAGTTGACATTAAAAAACATGCTCGAGCTTCTGATTGACAATATCTATGTGGTTTTTGGGGACCAGGCTTTCTAACAATCTATTGGAATTCCCCGTTATTAGTAGACCTATTTTTGTATTCATATGAAGCAGAATTTATTCAAAATCTTTCACGTGAAAAGAAGAAAACACTTGCTGTGGCCTTTAACTCGACATTTTTAGATATATCGACGACGTATTGCAATTAACAATGGTTATTTCCATTATTATGTCGACACGATATATCCCGGGGAGCTTGAGATAAAAGATACCACAGAGTTTGACACATCTGGGTACATACCTCTAATTATTTTTAGAATCGGTAGGAGAAGAAAGTAGTGAAGAAAAAATTACAAGTTCTTTAATTTGCAGACCTGAGTAAAAAAAACTGTGATAAGGTATTAAACTGAGCCTCATACTTGTTGAAAAGGAGTATGTTCCCTTGCAAAAAAGCTTGGCAGATGTAATTTATCAAGAAGATCAGCAGAATTATTTTATGTATTATAACACCAGTGAGAAGTCTTGAAATCCCCTACTTTCACTTTCATTTTCAGAGGTTAACGCAGACAGACGCATTTTGTCGGAAAACGAATCTGACATGCCACTCGAGATTTTAACCAAGGAAAGACAACTTGATGTGCTTTGATTTGAGGGGTCACTCAATGCTGAACGAAAATTAGGGGCATTGCTTTGTGAAGAAATGTTAACATTGCCGCCTATGGGAAAACAATTAGTGGGCTGTACCCAATATGTGAAGCCTATTGGTAAGTGAAAATTCTCATAGATCTTTACTTTGTTTTGAACTCGTTGTTTACTATCATTTCCAATTGTTTAAATTTATGAAAGAAGCAAATTTTAATTTTTTATACATATTTTGAAACAAATCGATTTGTTAATACCCCCCCCCCCCCTTTTTAGGAACAGACAGCTTATGCGCATATCTCCCATTGTGTACACATGTAGCATGTAAATTAAATGTATCGATTCTATACAATTTATTAATTCCGAGCCATTAATAGATATTTAGAAAAGGAACAATTATTTTAGAAGTACATCCACCACTATTGTTTATCATCAATACACAAAAGTTCAGAAATGAGGTCGGAATCAGTATTCAGTGAAGTTCAAGGTCAAAGTGAAAGTAGAATGGCAGTAAGTTATCAACACTGCTTAGTGCAGCTATGCTACCTAATGCAGAGTCTTGCAGTATGTAGGTGATATGCATTTGTCATTTTATGAAAGAGGTAAAGAAAAAAAGAGGTTTCCATGCTTTATTACAATATTTGTAAATGAAAACTTTTATTCTCATGGAATAGAATTACATGAACGAGGACATACATGTGCATTTTTTCAAAGAAGTCGGTCAGGCTACTGTTGTGTAGAAGTTAAGCAGTGTATGTGTGAACATGCACACTAACATTTTTTTTTATATTTTATTAACTGGATTACATGTATTTGTCTAATGTATAATCATTGTCAGTTACATGCTTTTTACCTGTATTATTAATTTACATGTAATTTAACAATGCTGAGACTAATCAGTGCAAATTCATAATTTTCAATTGATATCAACCAATTAAGGGCATCAGGGAATGTTGTAGGATTGTGTGTGTTTGATGTCTGTCTGTGAATGTTTTAGGTGCTTTTTGATGCTGATTAATTATTGCACCATTTTTTAAATTGATTTTTTTTTTTAGGTTCATGGTGATACAGGTTAACTTTGAGGTTCATGCAGATGGTGTTTAAAACTATCAGTCAGGAAAAACAAACTCATTTGAACACAGCTTGAGTCTTCATATATAAAATGATGGCAGTACTTTTAATATGTAAGTTGAATTTTCTAAAGCTTCTTTGTGTGTATGTGTGTGTGTGTGGGAGGAGGATGGGGGGGGGGTGTTAAAGCTTAGTAAATGTAGATTTTAAATGAATATTTGAGCAATGAAAGTGAACATCAAACTAATCTGTACATGCATGCTATATATTTTACAGCTAATATGTTTTAAAGAGAATTTCAAAACA